GTTTATATCCATTCGTTCTCGTATCCACGTTAGTACTAAGCTGGAATAATTCTTCTCCCTCCCTTGTATTAATCCCTCTAATATATTTAAAGATAGCAATCATATCCCCCCTCAGCCTTCGCTAGTCCATCTAGTCCAACCCTCATCACAGGCTAGCACCAGGGATTGAACATGGGGTTTCTAGCACCAAAGACCACTGCCGCTGGAGCTGAAGGACTAATACTTACATTTTCAAAAATGACTAGTGATTTTAGGTGCACCAATTTTTGGATGCCCAATTTATAGCATCTGAAGGGGCCTGATTTGCAAAGGGCAGGCACTTAGCAACTTTTGAAAATTGGGCTTTAAGGCTTCTCAAGTTGGGCACCCAAAGACCGAGGCATCAAAATCACTAGTCACTTTTAAACATCTCGACCTAAGTCCATTAGCTGGAAGTGGCAGTAGGTAGGTAGTCCGTCTGAATCAGCCACTAGAGGGGGATGCATGACGCACACTGCACTGTGGGTTACACAGGTATTTATAAATAGCAGAAAAACTGAATGGAGGGTACATGGGGCTGAAAAGGACCTGAACTATTCGCATTATCACTTAGAACACAGGAAGAAAAACACACACAAATGCCCACCCATTGCCAAATCAATAAAATGCATGACTCAGCAGCTGTTTGATGACCAGATTTACATAAGAGAGTGCAAAACTGTGCGACTCTAAGGCTACACTACAGAAATAAGTCGACCTAAGTTACGCAACTCCAGCTACGTGAATAACGTAGTTGGAGTCGATGTACCTTAGATCGATTTATTGTGGTGTCTATACCACACTGGATCAACAGGAGAAACTCTCCTGTTGACTTACTTTATGTTTCTTGTTCCGGTGGAGTACCGGAGTCAACGGGTGAGCGATTGGCGGTCGATTTAGCAGGTCTTCACTAGGCCTGCTAAATCGATCCCTGGTGGATCAATTGCTGTGCGTCAATCCCCCGGTAAGTGGAGACATGCCCTAAGAGAAATGCTGTAATGATGCTGGACACTAAAAGAAATAACAGAAGATGCATCATACATCATTTCTCCTACAAAGAGCTAGAGACTTAGGCACACTCTCGTTGTCACATAAAGCAGAGAAACACAGCTTCCAGATATCCAGAGGATCTCTAAGGGTTATCAGGAGTAGAGATGGGCGAATTGGTTCATGTCATAAAGAATAAGAACTGGCTTAAACCTCAGCCCTATTTCTTTTCACACAATTTGGTTAAGGTACACTTGTTTCACTGTTGCTTCCTCCTTCCCATCCACCAGATCAGACCCTCCTATCTATAGTAAACAATTGCACAGATCAGCACATTTCCAGCCTTTCTGCCAGGCTTTGGCTTGTTCCTCCTTTCCAATCTTAGAGCGTGCTGACATATTAGTTTCCAAAGAAGAAGCCAAGTCTTGGCCCATCTGAGAGACTAAAGAGCTACTTCTGAGACCCACACCGCTTTAAAAGGTAATGGGATTAGGCCAGGATGGGACTGGGAGAGGAGCAGATGTAGATGTCTCATAGGAGGCCTGGATAAGAAGGGGAAGAAGACATATTGGGCGTTGGTGGGAATGAGGATGCGGCAGTATGACATCAGCGTGTGTGGAGGTGAGAGAAGGAAAGGCAGACGGATGTGCATGCATGGTAGGAAGGAGAAACCTAGGTTTATCCACTGTAACTTAGTGTTCAGCACAACAGATCTGTGCTTTGCCTATAGGAGTTAGAAATGACTACTTGTTTGTTTTCCTAACCATAAGGTATTTCTAAATTATTTACCAAGAGGCACTAGGGCACAAGCCATTCTGTGACTAATCATTGAACTAAATCAGTTAATTGATGCTATTCTTAAGAGAATGATTCTCTATACTAGTTTTTATAAAGATATTGTACACCTGCAGCAAGTAATGTGTGAATGCTATGGCTGCATTAATTTCCATTAGCCTTGGAAGCTATTAACTACCCACTTACAACCCTCTGGGCATTACTGGAATATTAATTCTTATATGGTAATTGTATCATTACATCAATGACTATGTTTTATGTGAAAACATAGGTAGTGACTCAAAACTGTTACCATCTCAGAGCTATTCAGTGGCCTAACTCTAATGTGTTGTTGATCTCATTATAGTCCCAGCCCGAACACAACACAATGAGTAAGTGGTGAGAAGTCAGTGGTTTGAGCATTGGCCTGCTAAACCCAGGGTTGTGAGTTCAATCCTTGAAGGCAGCCATTTAGGGAACCGGGGTAAAAATCTGTCTGGGGATTGGTCCTGCTTTGAGCAGTGGTTTGGACTAGATGACCTCCTGCCATCCCTTCCAACCCTGCTATTCTATGATATTTCAGTTGTAATGAACCACAGTTTTATTAGTGAAACAGGCATTTTTAAATAGTATTTTTCTTTTGACAGTTTCCCTTTAAATATAATTAATCAATCACTATAGTTCAATTTATTAAGACCTCCCTAAATAAACATTCTGTGTGTGTGTGTGTGTGTGTGTGTGTGTGTGTGTGTGTTGAATAGGAAGGAAGGATATTTGTATTGGTGCTGGTTTTTTTGTTCTTTATTCCTCTGTGCTCAGCCATTAATTCTTGTTGACCTATTTATTTTTCTCATATAGAAACTGATGGGCTGATCCTGCAAATACTTATGACACAGTATAAGTAGTTTCACTGAATGCCTCAAGAACAGACACTACATCAGGTACTTGTAGGATGAGAGCCTAGGTAAATAAATAACATTTCTGAAACATGGTTCTTGATTAGTTCTCTAACTGAAAGAGGAAACAATCATGTTCATAACCAAAGCCAAGTGGGAAAGGGTGGAGTATAAATAACAAAGCAGCACACAATGTTTTTCCATTTCTGTTCCCACCAAGCCCCTCTCCCACCACTGCACACACATTTTTCCAATATACATTTCCAAACACTCTCTCTTTCTTTTCCCTTCTCAAAATTTATTGTAACCAAGCCAACTTCAGAAAGAAACAGATCCACTGAGCATGAAATTCACTTCTCAGGAGGATTTTCTTCCCTACTGACTACTCTGGTACCTTTAACTGTCATAAATAAAAGATAAATGTATGCAAGCCATTTTGCACATATTTCCTCTCTGAGATAAAGCTATAAGTCATCCTGGTGGGATACAACACCCTCTTAACTCCAGTAGCACTCCCAACTTCAAATATGATCGTTAGCCAAATCCTACTTGGCCAATGCTTGGAAACAACTTCCTCTCAGTAGCCTCCATTGTGTCCTAAAGCACAGGTTCTATTCTTACAAGTCAGTCTCTCTGGGGCACCATTTTAATGCTTTTCAGTGATGCCCACATCAATTGTGCTCAGTTTATAAGCAAAAAGATTTTCTACTATCAGTCCTGCACACCCAACCTGGGCTCTGGGAGGCAAGCTGTGCTGAGTTCTTTCTGCTTTGTGAATCGTCACCACTAATAAAGCATCTCCAGGCCAATTATTCCCTCAGTGACACATGTGCAGCCCTAGCCCATTGATTTTCACAAGCGTAAATGCTTGGAACTTAAAACATGCAGTTGATGATGCACAAATGGAACAGAAGCCAACTCACTCTTTGCAGAATTAACAGGAGTAAAATGAATTGCTTTGTCCTTCTTCTTCTTTTTTACCTGACTAAAGTGATTTAAAGATTTTCAAAATCTCAGGACAAAGATTTGCTTGTATAAAAAAAAGTGCCATTTTTACATAGATGCTTTTCAGGATAGACCTCCAATTTAAAGCACTGTCCCAAGTTGTGGATGATGTGGAAACACTTTCTAGAGCTGGGGTTCTCAACCTTTCTCTCTCTGAGGCCCCCCTCGACATGCTATAAAAACTCCAGGGTCCAGTGGGGGGGGACGACTCGGGACAGGGGCCTTGGGCATAGATGTAGTTTGACTTCTATTTGTGGGGGGGCACGGGCCAGCGGGGTTCGCGCCAACTCTGCATGGTGGGGTCCAGGGAGAGAGTGCCACCTCCGCCCCCTGACTCACCTCAGAAGGCCACCCAGCCTGTCTGGGTTTTGGGGCAGTGGTGTGCAACCAAAAATTATAACTCAAAGGTGGGGGCTTAGCTCAAAAATTTTGAAAACAGCAAGGAGGGGATGGCTAGGGGCTGTGTGCGGGCAGGGGGTAGTTCAAGGTGCAGGGAGGGGGTTGCTGGGTCTGTGTGCGGGCAGCGGGTAGCTCAGGGCGCAGATGGGGTAGCTAGGGGCTGTGTGCGGGCATGAGTGCAGCTCAGGGTGCAAGAAAGAGGGTATCTAGGGGCTGTGTGCTGGGAATGCTCCCCTGAGGTCCGTTCCCAGAGGGCTCTTCCAGCCACAGTCTCCCCTTCACCTACCTTAGTCAAGAGTCCTTTCCCCCCTTTCTCCTAGGACAGAATTTCCCTGTCAGTGCACCTTTCTCACTTCCCTCCCGGTGCCTGCTCCCTAAAAGCCCAATCTGAACTCTTATCCCAGAATCCCATTCCCTATTAATGCTACTGTGTGCCCCTGCTCACCAAGCCTCAGCACAAAGATATCCTTCCAGCACCCTAGCACCAGGGAGCAGCTACCAAACACCTCCAGCCCCAGAGTAGACCCCATATCCATAAGATTGCCTCCCACAGTATAAAGGGAGATGACGGAGGAGTTCTGGCAGGCAGCAGGGAGGGAGCCTTTGTTGTCTCAAACCTACTTGCTTTAGGGCTTGCTTATGCTGGCCTGCAGATTCAATAGGGAGGAAGAGGCACTGAGCCTGCTCCCTAGGCCACTGAGAGCAAGGGAAAGAGGCAACATAAATCACAAGAATTTAGGAGGCAGGAGACTTGATCTTCCACCTTCTCAGACTACAAAAACAGCATTTTCTTTGAGAATAAGATGGTAGGGGGCCAGGTCCCCATTATCTTAAGTTCTTCTGGTTTTCTTTGCCTCTTCCAAATGTTGCCAATGGTAGATCTGCTTTGGCACCCAAATCAAGGTTGGCAGTGTCTATCCAGGACCAGCCATCTCTGCACATATGGTCATGCTCATGATCACAATGAAAGAAAAGCCGAAACTCGTGCTTGCATTTCCACTCAAAGGGGTGCAGATGCCAGGAGCATGTGCACCACGGTCTACTCAGCAGATTGGAACAATGCAGTTTTGAAGAGAGAGTATATAAACCACAAGTCATCGGGCTGCTGAAACCACACTGATAGGATGGTTATATGTGTTCTATGAGCAAATATTACAAACTAGAAGACTGTCAGGCAGGAATAGATGTCTCAATGCTAATGTAACCCCAATGAGTTCAATCCAGTTAAACTAGGAATGAATTCAGCTCATTAACTCTGCATATGAAATAGTCCAGGAGTTCTTTGTTTTTCAGAAGGGGCGGGGGGGGAACTGTCTATCCAGTCAACAATATCTCTTGAATCCATCTCATGTGCAGTTGCTACCAGGTGTTTTTTGAGCACCAAACAAGCAATTACAATCTCCCCCCACCTTCAAAAGGAAGGGAGTCTTCCAAACTGCAAGGCCAGGGCTTTCTTTTGAATTGTTGGCATTAACCCTGGGAGGTTTGGACTGAAATCCAGCTCTTAAAATGAGTTGGCATCTGAGCCCAGGATCTCATCACCATGGTTTCCATTGTTTAAGAAGTAAACATGTTTTAGGAGATAGGCAATGAATTGTGTTATACTGAAGCAACTCCTATTCCATATCTTTCAAAAATATCTCTCTACCAGAGCTCCATCTGCTTCTATAGCATGGGACTGATTTAAAGGCATATATAAAAAGGCTTAGCAGTAATGTCATCCCCATTAATAATGAGAAAAGGAAACTTTGCTTTGGTGAATAGCTTTGAAAATCAAGTTAAACAATTGATGTACAAATCACCTGCATTACCCTGACGACCTCAACTAGACAATTGCTGAAAAAGCATCAGGAAATAAATTGAATAAGTTTGCCAACAAAACTGAATACAAACTGGTCTGTTTCAATGAAAAATATATAAATAAGGCTGTAAAAGAGACAGATTCGCAAACAGTAGTCAAGTAGAACATTAAGTCTTTGACACTTCATGTCATACAAATCCACTCCGTCCTACTTCTTGTTCAGCCAATCGCTCAGACAAACAAAAGTTTGTTTACATTTGCAGGAGATAATGCTGCCCGCTCCTTGTTTACAATGTCACTTGAAAGTAAACAGGCATTCACATGGCGCTGTTGTAGCCGGCATCACAAGATATTTATGTGCCAGATGCACTAAAGATTCATATGTCCCTTCATGTTTCAACCACCATTCCAGAGGACATGCATCCATGCTGATGATGGGTTCTGCTCGATAACGATCCAAAGCAGTGCGGACCGACGCATGTTCATTTTCATCATCTGAGTCAGATGCCACCAGCAGAAGGATTTTCTTTTTTGGTAGTTCAGGTTCTGTAGTTTCCGCATCGGAGTGTTGCTCTTTTAAGACTTCTAAAAGCATGCTCTACACCTCGTCCCTCTCAGATTTTGGAAGGCACTTCAGATGCTTAAACCTTGGGTTGAGTGCTGTAGCTATCTTCAGAAATCTCACATGGGTACCTTCTTTGCATTTTGTCAAATCTGCAGTGAAAGGATTCTTAAAAGGAACAACATGTATTGGGTCATCATCCGAGACTGCTACAACATGAAATATATGGCTGAATGTGAGTAAACCAGAACAGGAGACATACAATACTCCCCCAAGGAGTTCGGCCACAAATTTAATTAATATATTTTTTTAAACGAGCATCATCAGCATGGAAGCATGTCCTCTAGAATGGTGGCTGAAGCATGAAGGGGCATACAGATGTTTAGCATATCTGGCATGTAAATACCTTGCAATGCCGGCTACAAAAGTGCCATGCGAAGACCTGTTCTCACTTTCAGGTGACATTGTAAATAGCGGGCAGCATTGTCTGCTGTAAATGTAAACAAACTTGTTTGTCTTAGCGACTGGCTGAACAAGAAGTAGGACTGAGTGGACTTGTAGGCTATAAAGTTTTACATAACTGCACTCAAACACAAAACAATGTAACAACATAAATAAATAAATAAATCTACATCTGTAAGCTGCACTTTCACCATAAAGAGATTGCACTACAGTACTTGTATGAGGTGAATTGAAAAATACTATTTCTTTTATCATTTTGACAGTGCAAATATTTGTAATAAAAAATAACAATATCAAGTATACTGTTATAATTCAAATCAATATATTTGAAAATGTAGAGAAGCATCCAAAAATATTTAATAAATTTCAATTGGTATTCTATTGTTTAACAGTGCAATTAAAACTGCGATTAATTGCAATTAATTTTTAAAATCATGATTAATTTTTTTAGAGTTAATTGAGTAAGTTAACTGCAATTAAATTGACAGTCCTAGTTTCTACCATTATAAAAATGTTGCTAAAATACATTCTACATCTTTCCAATTGTGCTACCATGTTTTGAATCATACCTATAGAATATGATAGTATTTTTTAAATAAAGGCACAGCAATAATTATCATTGAGTCAAAGATTTTTTTTTTTAACTAAAACTTCTAAAAAAATAGTCATATTGCCAAAATCAAAGTTTGTTCATATGCAGATACAGTGTTGGTATCCGTGTTTGCACAATGATTTCAGACATTAGGAGAGAAAATTAAGTCACTTTCTTCTTTTATAAAACCTTTCAGTCTCCTCAGCAGTGTTCCATTTACTTTATTTGAGAAACAAAAACAAAACAATCCCACAAGGACATATTTCTTTACCTGTGTTACTAAGAGAAATGTAGCCTACTTAACCAGAAAGAATGTTAAAGATCACATTTCCTTTTCAGTATTTCTTTTGTTTACATTTTGCATTTCACTCAGCTTGAAGAGTTCATGTCACTTTTATTTCCAGGCAGTTTCACCTTCTGGTTCTCACACCGTAGCACATTGGTTCTCAATATCTTCCAGCCTGCAACCTCATAACTGAAAAAAGTTTCAGGACACACACCTCCCAGACCTGGTTGAGACCCCCTGCTTTAACATAATCCAGTTTGAGGCATGGTGCTGCAGGGGAATGTTCAAATCTACCCACAAAAACGGCTTTGACTTTTTTTGTTGGTAATAATTTCATTAAAATATTGCTCTTTATGTTAGTTTTATGTAAAATTCCTCTATCCACCCTTCTCTTTTAAACACCTATTATGATATTTAAAATGTATAATCTGAACCACTGTACTAGATCCTCAGGGCAGGAACCTTGTCTTCCTTCTCTCTATAAAAAAGCATGCACTTTTTGGCACTACATAATGGCAAGCCACAACATAATAATACAATAATAGTACAATTATTCCTTTTACTTAATAAAAATGATTTGTTCCATGCGACAATAACATGCCATGTGTTTCTTGTTTCTTTACAAATAAATTTAAAGACAAAAATATAGCAAATATTTTCGTGTGGCTGATCATACCTGAAGAGGGATTCTCTTGACAACCAGATTTCATTCTGTTTCACAGTTTTCCAAGAGAACAGCAGCAGCAGCAGCAAAGCAGAGAGGGTCAGGGCAGTAGCTCCCCATCTATTTAACCAGGCACAGAGCTTTTTCAAACCATGGACAAAAAGGATAAGGTACCCCATACTGGAAAAACAAACAGGAGGGGGGGGAAAGTTGCTATTTCCAGTATTGTACTTCATGTACAAGATTATCTCAGCATTTTTATCTCTTGCACAATAAGGTGTTAAGCTAACTTCATTTTTCAGGTAAACAAATTCAAACTCTTTCTCCTCCTGAAATCAATTTACAGCTTCTATGAATTGACAAGCTCTAAATTATACACCCATCTACTATAAATATAGTAGTAACCAGAGTACCATATAGCATAACAGTTCATATGTGTACATGGCACTGTATGTGAAAGGCAGGTTATTTTTCTTAACCAAAAATCTAAGAAAGCATAACATAATAATACTCAGCAAGAATACAGCCGATTATAACTGAAAAGTGCTTCACAAACTAATGAATTCTCAAAACACCACTGCTAGGTAGCTTTTTTCATGCCCATTTTACAATTGAGCAAGAGAGACTGAGTAATTTATCCAAGGCCACTGCAGGATTAGAAGTCAGGAGTTCACAGTTTTTAGGTCCTGTGCACAGATTATTTCCCTCTTACATGTAGGAATTTAAATGTAATTATTATTTTGGAAGCTTACATAAATTACAGAAGTATAATGTGAGTGATACCATAAGAGTGCTGTAACATTAATGATACCAGATTATGGTTGAAATTGAGAACGACAACATATATAAAGTCCATGCTGCCACCTTCACTCTCACTAAGGCCATGTCTACACTTACGAGGGATCGGCGTTGCTGCGATTGATGCAGCAGAAGTCGATTTAGCGGGTCTAGTGAAGACCCGCTAAATTGATCGCAGAGCTCTCTCTGATCGACTCCGGTACTCCAATGGAATTAGAAGAGTAAGGTAAGTCAATGGGAGAGCATGGCGTAGACACTGCTGTAAGTCGACCTAAGCTACGTCGACTCCAGCTATGTTATTCACGTAGCTGGAGTAGCGTAATTTAGGTCAACTTACCCCTGTAGTATAGACAAGGCCTTAAGTAGTATCTTACTCTGTAAGATTCAGAGTAACTAAGGGCTAGTCTACACTGGCAGTGCTAAAGCGCTGCCGCAGCAGTGCTTTAACGTGCCTTGTGTGGTCGCAGCGCAGCGCTCTGAAAAAACCCCACCTTCACAGGGGGCTTGCCCAGCGCTGGTGCACTGTCTACACTGGCGCTTTACAGTGCTGAAACTTGCTGCGCTCAGGGGGGTGTTTTTTCACACCCGAGTGATAAAGTTGCAGTGCTGTAAATTGCCAGTGTAGACAAGCCCTAAGTAAGGTGCTATTCAGCCTAAAGATGGCAGAACCTGGAGGCAAAGACTGTCTCTTACTATGTGTTTGTATAGCCCCTAGCACAATAGTGCCCCAATCTTGACTGCAGCCTCTTCACACAAATAATGATAATAACTGGACCCATAATGTTTAGAATTGCTAGAAAAACTGCTAATTGCAAAAGTAGAGACGTGAGATATGCTTCATCATGCACATATATTAACAACAGTGTGGTTACACTGTATTTACAGTACAGTTCTCATTTTTTACATGTAATTACCACTCTTTTTTTTTTTAAGAATCCTGGTACACAAACTCCATGGTAACACTAATGTAACAACTATGAAGATATACATATTTACTATAAAATCTGAGACTCTGAAGTTTAATGACATAGTTTATACTATAATATCTTTGAATTGCCTGACCACTGCTATCTCATGGAATTTTCAGGTTCACTTTCCTGTGTGCTTACATGGATTTGTATATGCAATGGTCAAATAGCTCCCATATTTTCAAGTGAACCCTTATTCCTGTGTACTACCAAACTGATTCAAGTACTTAAGTATGCAATTAGACTCTATTATGCTATATATTTCTGAGCTGGGAATGGAGCATCTTTAATTGTTTTCTTAACATTCTGGTGATTACATGGAATTTTCAGAAATTTTTCCCCCCTACATGTATTCATGGACCTGCACATGTAATGACACATGAAAAGAAATAATTTAATAATGAAGACCCCTCCACTCTGTCCAAGCCCATGTAGCTTCTCAGAAGAGAAATCAAAGTAGAGCATTCTGGAACTATAGTTATAGTCTATCCATAAAGGGAAGTAAAGCTGTTCCCAGTAGCGACCACATCCTCACTCTCACCCATCACAATTAAGTATGTTTACCTGGGAACACAGGAAAACTACAGCTCTGAGAACTCTCCCCTTCTTGTTTTCCAGGCAGCCCAGAGAGCAATACCCACATGGATTGTGCCTAGAATGCTTAAGAGGAAAGGAGCATCCCTGTTAAACTGCTTTGTAGTGAGGGAAATCACGTAAAAAAATCATCCCTTGTAATCCCAGTGGAAGAAATAGGATGGCAAACATCAATATATAAATCAGAATGGAACATGCAGCTTTCTGAGGAGTTCCTAATGTGTTTCATTTCAGATTTCTCAAGCTCTGCCCTCTTGAGATGCCAGGCACCATACACTGTGCAGATGTCCTAAATATGACTACGTGTGATCTGCTGAGCTCTGTGGACTTGGCTCCCTTTCTGTGGGATTTGGATACACGTAAGAGCTCTGCTGAGTGCTTTGACTTAGTTCCCTTTTAGTCAGGCTTGAATGTCCAAGGGGCTGTCTCTCGGCTATCTGAATTCTGCTTTTTACAGGATGTGGAGGGCCCTCTCTCCTCTTCTCTGTGTTTTTTGGCATCTCCAGTGGGTGGAGCTTTATTTGTGAGTGAAGCAAGTTTGCCTCATCAGCACTCAGAAGTTACAAGTGTTTTTCTCTCTCCCGCTTCCCCCCTGCCAATGTATCCCTGGATCATTGTTATGGAGCAGTGCTGTGGGCTATGGGTACAAACAAAAAACCATCTCGAAATAGACACTCCTCATTATGCCAACTTACACTGCTAGGGCTTTTAGTATACAGGCGCCCATGTCATATCAGTAATGCTTACTCATGTGCATAGACCCATTAACATGACCGTGGGCTTGTCTACACTATAAGCATAACTGTGGCAGGGGATGCAATTACAATGTGATTGTTCCAATTTACCTTGGCGCTGCCAACACTTAGACACATGCTTAAATTGAAGTTTGGCCTCAGTGGGATTACTTCTGTGCTTAAAATTAAGCATGTGTACACTGTCTGCAGAATTCAAGCCTTACTGCACAGATATGAACTTCCCACGTTCCAGAATGAAAATAGCATGGTTTTGAAACATGGTTAAGGTCCTTTCTATAGAACAAACTAGAAAGATGCTTTAACTGTGTCTGAGAATGGACAAATGCATTATAGCCAGGTCTCCAGATATAATTTAACCTGTAGCATTGCGAGTAATAAAATCTTCAGGATCAGACTGTTAGCAACTGCAACAAATTTTTTTTTTTCAAAAATTCACTTCTGAAATAAAATTACACAGACGTCGTCTAAAATAGCTTTTTGAATGTCAAACATTTCCTTAAAAAGTGAAAAACCCTAGAAAAGAATTTAGGAAACAGAATATTTAGCATTGAAATTCACAGTGCAACTTTTTTCAGAAACCGAGAGAAAGAAAAAAGAAAGTACCTCCCCAAAGCACAAAATATAAGCACTGCAATAGCTCTGCACAACCACTGCAAAACAAATAAAAACAAAAAGAATGCCAGCTGCAATATTAGCATTCAAGTATACCATGGATACAATATTTTTGTTATATCTACCCTTTTCAGAGGTGGATTTGAATGCTTAGTTTATGCCTCTAATTTGTTGTGATACATTATTGTTACTTTTCTTATTTTCGTTTTCCACAAACTTTTTGCACTATGTTTATTGAATTGACACTATTTCTGTTTGCATTAATTGCAAAAAGACTTTTGCAGATACAAACTGAATATCTGGTGCTTCTATTGAGCCAAAACATCCAGTCCATATGGTGACTGAACTGCGTTTTCAAGTCTCTGAAAAGTTAATCTCAATAATCAGGCCAACAAGAAACTCCTCAAAAAACCTGCAGACAGTTTCCACTCTGATTGATATATTGGCTTTCAGCAGTTTAATCCTGCCCTGGGAATTACCTATTTAACGTGAGCATTATTTAGTTGAATTTCTTTATCACAAAGCAGTATCAAAAGGAAGATCCTTTCACCTTTGCAGTTTTAGGCACACACCTTCTCCAAACAGCCTACTGCACGTGCCCAGAGAACAAGTGGAAACATTTGGGAAATAGTCAGACAGTTCCCATAGCTCATATTACAGAAGGGGAGAAGCAAGACAGACCCAGTTCCCAGCTGTTGGGAATTGTTAATATACTCTTGTTCTCACCAGCAGTATTCAGTATGCTTCTGCTGACTACAGATACAGTTGTATTACAGTTTATACATCCGCTGGGAAGAGGCTTTTTTTATATACTTTTGATTAAGCTTCATGGTAGTTACATGGATAAATGTGGTATTACACAGAAATAAGGGTTCATTTCAAAATACAGTACACATCTGAGGGAACTATAGGGGTAGTTACATCATAACACCTCCAAGTAGTTCTTGAATAGTGCTTTTTATTCATAGATCTCAAAGTACATTACAAGTGAGGTCAGCATCATGAGTTCATTTTACAGATAGGAAGACTGAGGCACTGGGAAGGGAAGTGACTTGCCCAAGGTCATCTAGCACGCCAGTGGCAGGGCTTGGACTAGAAACCAAGTCTCCTGAGCCACAGCCAAGTGCCCTAATCACTACATAGAGAGTTCCAGAGACATACATTGAACTTTCATCAGGACTTTGAATTATCTACCTAAAAATTCCTTGTAACTCCATGAAAATACAGTCAGAAGGTAATTCAAAGCTACACTATAAATCAAGTGCACCCATATAATTTAACTTCTGATTGTAGCTTTTTGTAACAAATACATATATCACAAAGTAGAACTTCATAGTAATTACACTATAACAACAATGTGGCTATGTACCAGAATTCTACAAAATAATACATGTATTAAGTATGAGACTAAAAGGGGTAATACTAAGTAATGTAAGCTTTAAGTATAGCTTCC